ATCAGTGGTTCATAAGATCAATAGTTCGAACCAACCATTTTAATCAATGTCTGAGAAATTCCTTCCGCGTATTATACTGTTGATAGTAAATTTCTCAGCATCACTCCTATTATCTTCAACCTCAAAGGCTTTTTTTTAAACTGTAAACAGTTTGATGTTGGTCGTTTGATCCATATATCACATGACCCACTTGAAAGCACTTGAATATTCCAACCCAGCCATTCTCAATCAGGGTTCCGTGGAACCCTAAGGTTCCTCCAGAGCTTGCTAGGGCTTCCTTGGGATGTGGTTGACTGACCTCTCTCTAATGATGGCTGCATAGTTCCAGGGCCAACACAACCTAGAAAGGTCAATAGCAAGACGTCACTGATCTTTTTAGCTGTCTATAAGGGTAGCATTTCTGACCACCACTGTAAGGGGAACATTTTTTCCTGACCAAACAATGTGAAGAACGTTCCACTGACCCCCCAAAAAATTCTAACCCAGCCATTCTCAACCATGGCACTTCAGAGGTTGCTAGGGGTTCCTTAAGTTGTGCTGCCTCCAGCGGCTTTTATGTTCTATTCTGGCTGTGTGGATATCAGTGGTTCATAAGATCAATAGTTTGAACCAACCATTTTAATCAATGTCTGAGAAATTCCTTCCGTGTATTATACTGTTGATAGTAAATTTCTCAGCATCACTCCTATTATCTTCAAACTTAAAAGCTTTTTTTTAAATTGTAAACAGTTTGATGTTGGTCGTTTGATCCAAATATCACATGACCCACTTGAAAGCACTTGAATATTCTAACCCAGCCATTCTCAATCAGGGTTCAGTGGAACCCTAAGGTTCCTCCAGAGCTTGCTAGGGCTTCCTTGGGTTGTGGTTGACTGACCTGTCTCTGATGGCTGCATAGTTCCAGGGCCAACACAACCTAGAAAGGTCAATAGCAAGACGTCACTGATCTTTTTAGCTGTCTATAAGGGTAGCATTCTGACCACCACTGTAAGGGGAAACATTTTTTCCTGACCAAACAATGTGAAGAACGTTCCACTGACCCCCAAAAAATTCTAACCCAGCCATTCTCAACCATGGTCACTTCAGAGGTTGCTAGGGGTTCCTTAAGTTGTGCTGCCTCCAGCGGCTTTTATGTTCTATTCTGGCTGTGTGGATATCAGTGGTTCATAAGATCAATAGTTTGAACCAACCATTTTAATCAATGTCTGAGAAATTCCTTCCGTGTATTATACTGTTGATAGTAAATTTCTCAGCATCACTCCTATTATCTTCAAACTTAAAAGCTTTTTTTTAAATTGTAAACAGTTTGATGTTGGTCGTTTGATCCAAATATCACATGACCCACTTGAAAGCACTTGAATATTCTAACCCAGCCATTCTCAATCAGGGTTCAGTGGAACCCTAAGGTTCCTCCAGAGCTTGCTAGGGCTTCCTTGGTTGTGGTTGACTGACCTGTCTCTGAAGGCTGCATAGTTCCAGGGCCAACACACCCTCTCAGAGCTTGCTCCTCCACCACTGGGCTTCAACTTGGGTTGTGGTTGACAACCTGACCTGTCTCTCAATAGCATAGTTCCAGGGCCACATCAAGCTAGTCTAAGGTCAATAGCAAGACACATGACCACCACTGTCTTTTTCTCAGGGAACATTTTTTCCTGACCAAACACTGTGAAGAACATTTATTCCACTGACCCCCAAAAAATTCTAACCTAGCATTCTCAAATGCCAACTCGGCACGGTTTAACCAAAAATGTGTGAAGAACGTTCCACTGACCCCAAAAAATTCCCAGAAAATTTCTAACCCAGCCATTCTCAACCATGGTCACTTCAGAGGTTGCTAGGGGTTCCTTAAGTTGTGCTGCCTCCAGCGGCTTTTATGTTCTATTCTGGCTGTGTGGACATCAGTGGTTCATGAGATCAATAGTTTGAACCAACCATTTTAATCAATGTCTGAGAAATTCCTTCCGTGAATTATACTGTTGATAGTAAATTTCTCAGCATCACTCCTATTATCTTCAAACTTAAAAGCTTTTTTTTAAACTGTAAACAGTTTGATGTTGGTCGTTTGATCCAAATATCACATGACCCACTTGAAAGCACTTGAATATTCTAACCCAGCCATTCTCAATCAGGGTTCAGTGGAACCCTAAGGTTCCTCCAGAGCTTGCTAGGGCTTCCTTGGGTTGTGGTTGACTGACCTGTCTCTGATGGCTGCATAGTTCCCAGGGCCAACACAACCTGGCAAGGTCAATAGCAAGACGTCACTGATCTTTTTAGCTGTCTATAAGGGTAGCATTCTGACCACCACTGTAAGGGGAACATTCTTTCCTGACCAAACAATGTGAGGAATGTTCCACTGACCCCCAAAAAATTCTAACCCAGCCATTCTCAACCAGGGTCACTTCAGAGGTTGCTAGGGGTTCCTTAAGTTGTGCTGCCTCCAGCGGCTTTTATGTTCTATTCTGGCTGTGTGGATATCAGTGGTTCATGAGATCAATAGTTCGAACCAACCATTTTAATCAATGTCTGAGAAATTCCTTCCGTGCATTATACTGTTGATAGTAAAGTTCTCAGCATCACTCCTATTATCTTCAAACTTAAAAGCTTTTTTTTAAACTGTAAACAGTTTGATGTTGGTCGTTTGATCCATATATCACATGACCCACTTGAAAGCACTTGAATATTCTAACCCAGCCATTCTCAATCAGGGTTCCGTGGAACCCTAAGGTTCCTCCAGAGCTTGCTAGGGCTTCCTTGGGTTGTGGTTGACTGACCTCTCTCTAATGATGGCTGCATAGTTCCAGGGCCAACACAACCTAGAAAGGTCAATAGCAAGACGTCACTGATCTTTTTAGCTGTCTATAAGGGTAGCATTCTGACCACCACTGTAAGGGGAACATTTTTTCCTGACCAAACAATGTGAAGAACGTTCCACTGACCCCCAAAAAATTCTAACCCAGCCATTCTCAACCAGGGTCACTTCAGAGGTTGCTAGGGGTTCCTCAAGTTGTGGCCTATTGGCTTCTCATCTAATAATATCTGCATAGTTCCAGGACCAACAGCACATGGCAAGGCAAGACATCAATGATCTTTTTAGCTGTCTATAAAGGTAGATTTCTGACCACCACTGTGGGGAAAGCATTCTTTCTCAGCCAAGGTTCCTTTAGAGGATGCTAGGAGTTCCTTAATTTGTGGCCGTTAGACCTCTAATCTAGCATTCTGCATCTGTAGCATTCTGACCACCAATGTAAAGGGAGCATTCTTTCCTGACCAACTAATGTGAGGAATGTTCTTTCCACTGACCCCCAATAAGTCCTAACCCAGCCATTCTCAGCCAGGGTTCCTTCAGAAGTTGCTAGGGGTTCCTTAAGTTGTGGCTGACCTCTCATCTAATGATGGTTGCATAGTTATAGGGCCAACACCACCTGGCAAGGCCAGCAGCAAGCATTCATAATCTTTTTAGCTGTCTGTAAGGGTAGCATTCTGACCAAAATTATAAGGGGAGCATTATTTCCTGACCACCAATCTGAGGATTGTTCTTCCCACTGACCCCTAATAAATTCTAGCCCAGCTATTCTCAACCAGGGTTCCATGGAACACTGGGGTTCCTCCAGAGGTTGCTAGGGCTTCCTTGAGTTGTGGCTGGTTAACCTCTCATCTAATAATGACTATCTAATGACTTAACATATACAATTGCTACACCAGCCATATTGTAAATTAACATTCTTATAAATTACCTTTCCTTTTCAATCTGCAGCCACTGTCCTTTTAAGAATTAAATAAAATCTAAAGGGATGCAAACACTGGAACTTTCTTCATTAGAACATTGAAAGTGAACCAGATGATTATAACGAACGAGACTTTCCCATTCAGAATCAGTCTACAAAGGACATGGTGAAACACACAGTTGCAGTGAAGTATTTCTTCAGATCAGCAAAAGGTTAAAATCTGCTACAAAGTTTGTTAAAATCCCTGCATGTACATAGATCACCCAGAGGGGAGTGTTTTTTTTTTTTCAAGAACAAACTTGAAGTTACATTTTAGGTGTAAATACAAATTTGTCAAACTAAAATCTGCAATTTGCATCAGAGATTATACTATGAGATACATATCTACACAAGGCAAATTCTAGTCTTTCTGAAAAACACCAAGACAGTTTGATTGGATGAGATTGAATCATTTGCAGATGAAATGCCCGCCAAACCCCTAGTGTCTTGCTGTTTTAGAGAGAAGTCCCACCAGCCCACCGACGGAAGACAATGCCCTGAAAGTTTAATTTTTCTGAAGGGGGAGAACTGAAGCCACAGCTGAAATCAGGTTGTTATCCCCATATGAGAACTTTGATGTGCCCACTGTGGGGGGTCACCGAGCTATTAATGTACCCCAAGGAAAGTAATTGACAAGCGAGAAAGGTTTCCCCAAGAGGATATCATCAGTATTTGACTTAATGCATCCTGACATTTCCCTTCAAACAGGAGGAAAGGCATTGAGGCAGCCTGGCACAGAAAATAATTGCAGCATAAATTATTAGAGGTGCCTTGTAAAATTTAATTAATGATTCGGAGATTTTCCAATCCTGCGTTCCAGGCTGAATCCTTTGCCGTTTCCGTTCGCGTTAATCAACAGATTCGAATTCCTCACTTAGCAAATTATATCCCTGTCAGAGGGACCTGCTAGAGCCAGGAGTGTCTAATTCTCTGTAAAAATGGAGTGGCAGACATATACTGGATATATATGGCAGACATAGATGGGGCGGAGACACAACATCAGCGCTGGTGTCTGTTATACCTGCATTAATAATGATGGTGGGCGGTGGGGGTTTGGGAGATGATTGCTGGGGGTGGAAGTATTATTTGGTGAAACTAAAAGCACAGTTTCAAGCTCTATAATGAACACAGACACTTAACATGGAAGAGGTAACTAGGTAATAATCCATCCAGACTATTAAATTAATCATGAAGTCAAGCACTGCATCATTTAAAGCCAACCTCCAGAAAATTTGATGCAAACAATGAAGCACCATTCCTCCCACTGATACCAATGATGGGGCACTATTCCTCCCACTGATACCAATGATGGGGCACTATTCCTCCCACTGATACCAATGATGGGGCACCATTCCTCCCACTGATACCAATAATGGAGCAACATTTCTCCTATTTAAACCACCAATGGAGCACCATTCCTCCCAGTGATAACAACAATGGAGCACCATTCCTCCCAGTGATAACAACAATGGAGCACCTTTCCTCCCAGTGATAACAACAATGGAGCACCATTCCTCCTATTGAAACAAACAATGGAGCACCATTCCACCCATTGCAACCAACAATGGAGCACCATTCCTCCCATTGAAACCAAAATGGAGCACCATTCCTCCCATTGAAACCAAAATGGAGCACCATTCCACCCATTGAAACCAACAATGGATCACCATTCCTCCCATTGAAACCAAAATGGAGCACCATTCCTCCCACTGAAACCAACAACAGAACACCATTCCTCCCATTGATACCAACAATGGAGCACCATTCCTCCCACTGATACCAAAAATGGAGCACAATTCCTCCCACTGATACCAAAAATGGAACACCATTCCTCCCACTGATACCAAAAATGGAGCACCATCCCTCACATTTAAACCAACAATGGAGCACCATTCTTCCTATTGAAACCAACAACGGAGCACCTTTCCCCCCATTGATACCAACAGTGGAGCACCATTCCTCCCATTGATACCAACAACAGAGCACCATCCCTTCCATTGATACCAACAACAGAGCACCATTCCTCCCGTTGATGCCAACAATGGAGCACCATTCCTCCCACTGATTCCAACAATGGAGCACCATTCCTCCCATTGATTCCAACAATGGAGCACCATTCCTCCCATTGATTCCAACAATGGAGTACCATTCCTCCCACTGATTCCAACAATGGGGCATTATTTCCCCACTAAAGCCAATTTGGAGGTGTATTTTATACCCACTAACACTATGGAGTTTTCTAATCCCACTGGCCACAGTCTTGCCCCCCCTAAAGCCTGAAGGATAGTTAACTGGTTCTTTGTTTAGAAAGTTTGGAGACCTCCAGTCTAGTGGAAAATAGTGGAAGCACTTTAACTTACCTGATCCTCCACTCCCCCAGTAGATGGCGCTCCTCCCATGCTGTGGCAGTGGACTGTGCCTAGGCTTCATCACACCCAGTCCAGGGCTATGGACCCTGCATTGGTGTTGATGATGTCAGGGCCCTAGACTGCTGAAACATAGGGGAGAAAACACTTCGGGGACCGGACCCTGCATTCACTATATTCAGTCTCCCCAGACCCTGCATTCACTATATCCACTCTCGCCAGAACCTGCATTCACTATATCCGCTCTCCCCGGACCCCGCATTCACTATATCCGCTCTCCCAGGACCCAGCATTCACTATATCCGCTCTCCCCCGACCCGGAATTCACTATATCCGCTCTCCCAGGACCCAGCATTCACTATATCCACTCTCCCAGGACCCTGCATTCACTATATCCGCTCTCCCCGGACCCTCTCACCACTCTCCCCGGACCCAGCATTCACTATATCCGCTCTCCCCGGACCCCGCATTCACTATATCCGCTCTCCCCGGACCCTGCATTCCCTATATCCGCTCTCCCCGGACCCTGCATTCACTATATCCGCTCTCCCCGGACCCCGCATTTCACTATATCCGCTCTCCCTGGACCCCACATTCACTATATCCGCTCTCCCCGGACCCTGCATTCACTATATCCGCTCTCCCCGGACCCCCGCATTCACTATATCCTCTCCCTGCTGCTTCACTATATCCGCTGTCCCCCCCGCATTCACTATATCCGCTCTCCCCGGACCCCGCATTCACTATATCCGCTCTCCCCGGACCCCATTCACTATATCCGCTCTCCCCGGACCCCACATTCACTATATCCGCTCTCCCCGGACCCCACATTCACTATATCCGCTCTCCCCGGACCCCGCATTCACTATATCCGCATTCACTCCTATCCCAGGACCCTGCATTCACTATATCCGCTCTCCCCCGGACCCCGCATTCACTATATCCGCTCTCCCCGGACCCTGCATTCACTATATCCGCTCTCCCCGGATCCTGCATTCACTATATCCGGTCTCCCAGGACCCCGCATTCACTATATCTGCTCCCCGGACCCAACATTCACTATATCCGGACCCTGCATTCACTATATCCGCTCTCCCCGGACCTAGCATTCACTATATCCGCTCTCCCCGGACCCCGCATTCACTATATCCACTCTCCCCGCCCAGCATTCACTATATCCGCTCTCCCCCGGACCCCGCATTCACTATATCCGCTCTCCCTGGACCCTGCATTCACTATATCCGCTCTCCCCGGACCCTGCATTCACTATATCCGCTCTCCCCCGGACCCCGCATTCACTATATCCGCTCTCCCCGGACCCCACATTCACTATATCCGCTCTCCCCGACCCCGCATTCACTATATCCGCTCTCCCCGGACCCCGCATTCACTATATCCGCTCTCCCCGGACCCTGCATTCACTATATCCGCTGTCCCCGGACCCCGCATTCACTATATCCGCTCTCCCCGGACCCCGCATTCACTATATCCGCTCTCCCCGGACCCCATTCACTATATCCGCTCTCCCTGGACCCCGCATTCACTATATCCGCTCTCCCTGGACCCCGCATTCACTACATCCGGTCTCCCCCGTCCCATGCATTCACTATATCCGCTATCCCAGGACCCTGCATTCACTATATCCGCTCTCCCCGGACCCCGCATTCACTATATCCGCTCTCCCCAAACCCAGCATTCACTATATCCGCTCTCCCCGGACCCTGCATTCACTATATCCGGTCTCCCAGGACCCCGCATTCACTATATCTGGTCTCCCTGGACCCAACATTCACTATATCCGGTCTCCCAGGACCCCGCATTCACTATATCCGGTCTCCCCGGACCCTGCATTCACTATATCCGGTCTCCCCGGACCCTGCATTCACTATATCCGCTCTCCCCGGACCCTGCATTCACTATATCCGGTCTCCCAGGACCCCGCATTCACTATATCTGGTCTCCCCAGACCCAGCATTCACTATATCCGCTCTCCCCGGACCCTGCATTCACTATATCTGGGCTCCCCCGGACCCTGCATTCACTATATCCGCTCTCCCCAGACCCTGCATTCACTATATCCGCTCTCCCTGGACCCTGCATTCACTATATCCGTCTCCCAGGACCCCGCATTCACTATATCTGGGCTCCCCGGACCCAGCATTCACTATATCCGCTCTCCCCGGACCCAGCATTCACTATATCCGCTCTCCCCGGACCCAGCATTCACTATATCCGGTCTCCCAGGACCCCGCATTCACTATATCCGGTCTCCCCCAGGACCCTGCATTCACTATATCTGGTCTCCCCGGACCCAGCATTCACTATATCCGCTCTCCCGGACCCTGCATTCACTATATCTGGTCTCTCCCGGACCCTGCATTCACTATATCCGGTCTCCCCGGACCCAGCATTCACTATATCCGCTCTCCCCGGACCCTGCATTCACTATATCTGCTCTCCCCGGACCCCGCATTCACTATATCTGGGCTCTCCCCACCCTGCATTCACTATATCCGCTCTCCCCGGACCCTGCATTCACTATATCCGTCTCCCTGGACCCCGCATTCACTATACCCGGTCTCCCGGACCCTGCATTCACTATATCCGCTCTCCCCGGACCCTGCATTCACTATATCCGCTCTCCCCGGACCCTGCATTCACTATATCCGCTCTCCCCGGACCCTGCATTCACTATATCTGCTCTCCCCAGGACCCCGCATTCACTATATCCGCTGGCTCCCCGGACCCAGCATTCACTATATCCGCTCTCCCCGGACCCCGCATTCACCATATCCGCTCTCCTGGACCCAGCATTCACCATACCCGCTCTCCCCGGACCCTGCATTCACTATATCCGCTCTCCCCAGACCCTGCATTCACTATATCCGCTCTCCCCGGACCCTGCATTCACTATATCCGGTCTCCCAGGACCCCGCATTCACTATATCTGGGCTCCCCGGACCCAGCATTCACTATATCCGCTCTCCCCGGACCCCGCATTCACTATATCTGGTCTCCTTGGACCCAGCATTTACTATATCCCCTCTCCCCGGACCCAGCATTCACTATATCCGCTCTTCCCGGATCCTGCATTCACTGTATCCGCTCTCCCACAGTACACAGAACATGGAAATGCAATTATTGTAGTAAATATAAACTGCTAAATATCTATTTTCATCAGCAGTATAGAGCAGTCTTGTGACATCTATCAGTGTCCAGCTGAGCACTCGTTAATCTTGTAGAAGGAGTTTTCATTCCCCTCTGATTATCCTCCAAGGCTGCATGACCCCTGACCCTCTGTCTGGACAGTGCTGATTGGACCTGTGCTGATCACATGCACCCGCCAAAGGAAAAAAAAAACTCTCTAGGAATACATACCAAACTGAGCATGTGCAGAGTGTCTCCTAGGGCTCTGTACTATCGGCAGATGGATTGGGGACAGTAGAAAAAAGGGGGGGTCAGAGAAGACAGGATCAAAATACAGAGGATTAACCCCTTATGTTCCACAGTGAGTATAACAAGCATGCTTTACTGCATCTACAGAGTGATTTTATTGTTGTGGGTGTAACTTTTCCACAACCCAATCATCCATTGATGCCATGGTAATGTACAAACAACATGGGGGGAGGGGGGACATAGGACAAGAATATGTTTTATAGAGACACCAACAACAAAGCCAAACCTTCAACATGGGACCAAGAACTGGGTTTACTGTCTTTCCTCTCCTCTTCCATAGGTCAGCAGCTACAGCTGGCCACATATCCCCCGCTGTGACTGTTGGTGGGCCACAAGCTCACATTAGCAGTTACTTCCAATCAGGGGCGGACTGACCATTTGGAAACTTGGGCCCTGCCCGAGGGCCCGGGGTCAGTAGGGGGCCCCATGAGATGCCCCTGGTACCTTTTTCATAGGCTTTTTTGAGTTTGGGCAAGGACACAGGAGTACCTCAGTTTACGAATTTAATGCGTTCTGCGGGACTTTTCGTATTGTGAAAAATTCATAGACCGAAACGCGGTTTCCCTTAGGAATGCATTGAAAACCAATCCATCCGCTCCATAGGTCAGATAAAAGTAAAAAATAGTCTTTTATGTGTTTCAAAACCAGGGGTGGACTGACCATTTGGAAACTCGGGCACTGCCCGAGGGCCCCTGGCGTCAGTAGGGAGCCCCAGGAGATGCCCCAGGTACCTTTTTCATAGGCTTTTTTGAGTTTGGGCAAGGACACAGGGGCCCCATGATCCCCTATTGCCCGGGGGCCCCATGAGTTGTCAGTCCGCCCCTGCTTCCAATGTATTAGTAAGTCTTTCTACAAAGATCTTGAAAATCTTCAACTTTTAGGGTAGAAAAATATCATTTTTAAATATAACTAAGGAAAATGCTAGCATACAAATATCTCAGAAGTGATTCTATCATAGGGAGGGATCTATTCAGTCCCAGGTCACGTAGCCTCCCTAGC